GCCTCACTTCCCGAGAAATCAAAGTAAATGCACAAGAACGCATACGCCACAGTAGGACATTCTCAGAATGATCCCGATGACATTAGACGGACCGCCTACAATTAATCACTAGTAATAGATCTAGCTGCGCTAAATAAAGAGCCTTCCGTGCATCAAGAGGCGCAATAAAATGCTGCATGTTCGTTTCTGTTTGATTCATGGAAAAAAGACTGCCAGACGTTACTATGGGGAATGGCGCGAGTGGTTCAAAAATTCAATTTTCGCGCAGTTACACTGGGCAGGTGGTGCCATCTAGCGGGGCCCAGTTGAACCAAAAAACGTCTACAATCTTGGAGCCAATGGCGGGAAATTAATCAATGGCCATTGTTGCTGCTTTGGCTCCCGCCACTTTGGGTCTGCTGCCACTAGCCCGGTAAAGTCGGAAAACTTTGTGCATGGCAACAGTGACATGAGACGGTCCAGTCAGTCCGCTTCTTGAAGCGGTTAATTTGAAGTGCGCAAACTTGATGCGAACCACTAAAATGTGATTTTATTTCAAAACAGGCCCTTCCTTGGCACACAAGTAATACTACGAGGTTTCTGGAGTGCTATTTGAACAATCACCGCTGACTTAATATTTGCCTTTAGTGTCCCTTTGAAACGGCACTGACAAAATTTCGCAGCCAAGATAGCCTGCGGAATCAATTCCCGAAAACATGCGTATTTCACCTGCAGAATATCAACAATGAATATAGCTTGGAAGGTATTTTAAATTAATTTTGAAGTTTACACGAATGACCAGCTTCATCGTGTTATTGGGACCCCCTACTTCACTCAAGTGACAACGCTGCAGCAAGTTATGGCATCAGCTGTCATTATTCTTTGGCCGTGTTTGCTCTAGCAGACTACTGTATTTACTCACATAATTTGCGCACTTTCTTTCGCGGTTCTCGGGCTCCGAGAAGGGGGTGCTGCAAATTACGAAGAGATTTCGCGAATGCATATGAAATAATGTGCGATAGTCCTAACATGTGCAGTATACAATAAAAACATATATAAATTGAATCACAAGCAAAGTGTACTTGCTAATTTAACAGAATTAGCATGGTCTTTAACTAGTCAGATGCAGTCACACTCGGTCTAATTGGAATCATGGCCGAGAGGTCCAATTGATAATCATCGTAGCGGCCACTGTCACCGCCCTCCCAAAGCGCATCGTCCTCGGTTCCACGGAGCGCGTTCAAATGCTCCATTTTCTTGACGCTCTTCTCGACAATTCTGGGAGAAACAAGGTCATACAACACGACAATATCGGAGGACCTAAGCGTTCGCACATGAATGAAAAGGTCTTGAAAAGCAGAAAACAAGAGCGCACTCTTCTGCTTTTTCCCCTATTGATCGCGCCGATCATCACATGTTGAAGAACATCACGCTGAAGTGCTTGGCGGCAGCACGGTTCCCGTTTTCTTAGGCAAACTTTATAAAAGAGAGCTTGAATTTTGCAAAATATATAATTATTGTAACCCATTACAGGAAAATAGTAAAAATGCAGTGGAAGAATGGCGTAACCTAAACTTCAAAAATCAATCACACGTGGCGTTGCGGCACGAACGCGTTGGTGAGACAGGCCTTCGAGGCCTTCGATGCAGAAATTTGTCCATGCTGTGATGCGTAGCGTGCATTCGCACGGTGGTAGAGATGGGGAGCTAGAGAGAGGCAAACGCTCAAGCAGTTCCGGTGACTCGTTAATAGGTTTGAGATTTCAGGTGGGTCTGGTAATCTAGGGACCCTAGTTCATGGGAAGTCCTCGAAGGGATTTCGCACTCCCAGCTCGTTAGACTGCATTTGCCTACTCGAAGAGGTGCACGCGTGCGCTGGCTCGAGCGGGTTGGGGAGCGCAAAATATGCGAGTGAATATTTTACTTTCAAGTAGAGCTGGCTAAATATTAGGGGTGTTAGAATTATGCAAAGGCCCAAATTACATGAGTAAATAAGGTATTACTCGGCAGCTGCTCCCTGGCCTCAGCAAACGAGTTGATTGATGATTGATATGTGGGGTTTAACGTCCCAAAACCACTATATGATTATGAGAGACGCCGTAGTGGAGGGCTCCGGAAATTTAGACCACCTGGGGTTCTTTAACGTGCACCCAAATCTGAGCACACGGGCCTACAACATTTCCGCCTCCATCGGAAATGCAGCCGCCGCAGCCGGGATTTGAACCCGCGCCCTGCGGGTCAGCAGCTGAGTACCTTAGCCACTAGACCACCGCGGCGGGACGCAGCAAACGAGTTGAAAGTTTTGTGTTTGATGACATTGCTGTCCCATTTCCTCTTCAAAAAAAAAAAATAAAAAAACTGTTCTGTGCGCTGACATGATCGAGCATTGCACCCACTAGGTGGCGATTGTTTCAGGCTGCGGCTTGTAGTTTTTGAAACGGAAACTGGTCAGTAATAAGGAGACTATAATTAATTATCTGTCACACTCTATAGAAAACGATGTGTTGTGTTATGACTAAAAGGCCCCCTGAAAAACACTGCAGAAAAAAAAAACAGCCAAAATGTTTGTGTTAGTACCCTTTTAAGGTTAAAGGAACACATTACGCCAACAATACTTTTTCCTTCTTTAAATTCAAAAGCTTGCTCTGCCAGGTTATATGCCTTATATTGATCATTTCAATTCTTAAATTCACTCTAGAAATGCATTCTCACTTGCACTCTAGAAAGTGAAATTCTGCCATTATTCACAGTTGCTTCCACCTCATTTTAATTCCCCCCTCCAAAAAAAAAAAATCTATATTAGTACATGACTTCTTTCAACTAAATAAAAATGCGCATGTTAGTTGGGTTATGACAAATAGGCCCATTTTTCCTTTATAATATACATCAACACATTATTCAAGCTGAAATTATTCAAGCTAAATCACTTCTACCGTTGAACCTAAATTTAAAATTGACAAAAGCCCAGTTTTGAGCCTAATTGACTTTGTACAGAAATTACAACTGACTAATTACAATTACATTTAATTGAACTAATTAACATTGATTATCAAAAGGGCACCAAAAGTATTGCCTCATTTTCTTTCAAACATCGACACAATTTTTAGACAGTTCATCATACACTCGAACCTCTTTATAACGAAGTAACATATTACACAAAAACAAGTTTGCTAGTCTATTATATTTATTGTTATATTTGTTATAAAAGGTCTACTCCTACACTATATTGCAAGACTATTCTTCATTTACTTTGTTATGACCGACACTTCATTATATCTGGCTCCATTATATCGAGGATTGAGTATTTTGAGCTTGATCATACAAGGTAGAGGCTACTCGTGACGACGATGACAGTTTTCTGACCACAAAAACCTTACCAAAGGAGAGCTTAAACAGCTCAAACTGTTAAAAGGGATGCTTATAATCCACAGCTAAGCCCTCCACAACGTGGAAACCACGCACAAAAACCTTACCCACGTCCTTCTTACGCTCCTGGCTGCGATGACCTCGCCCATTTTCTTTAGCCTTGGCCTGCAGCTCTTCGACGGAGGCCTTGGGACTGCTGGACGGGTTGCCTGCGTTTTCTCCAGCTTCTCCTTCGAGTTACGGAACTAGCTCCTGCGCGTGAGGAAGCGGTAACAGCATTGTGGGACACGCTTACAGGACGGTGCCACCTTTGAACTTGCGCGATGATGCAAGAGATTAAAATTTTCTTCTATTGCTTCCTCCTGGTTGTTTCGCCAACTGCGTGCTGGAAATTTAAAACTAGACCAAGAACCGGAACTTGTGTTGAATAACCTATGGCAAAAAGCTTGTCTACGGTAAATATGGGCTGATAAGAAAATTCGTACGAGGTTCCCTGCTTAGAGAACGTCTCGTATAAAAGCCAGAATGGCTGCCCAGAGAGTGCCTCTCATAAAGGGGTTCAAACGCGTAAGAATTATCGGTTATATAACAACGGATTTTTCGTCGCACTTCGAACATTGTTATAACTGGGTTCAACACGTAGGTTCCGCAAGCCAGGCCCTTTCCATGTCTTTATCTTTAACACATAATATTATCCACCAGCACCTCTTGTTGCTTTGCTACAAGCTTTACCGGCCATACATAATTAGTGAGCTTCATGCAGACGGTAACTATGTCCATTCACAAGATATTGTGAACTAAGAATGCGATTCACGTGCAAGTAAGTATGATACACATGTTGCTAATATGAATTCTCGTTAAGGGGAGACGCTACTCGAAAAAGGTTTTTATTTTTATTTGCGGAACAGCAAATATTAACAGACACAGAGCCAAGGGGTGTCAGAATGTTACATAATTTGCAGTAAACACTGACTCGGTCTGGACGTACTGTCCATGCGACGTACAACTTTGTCAGTGGTCCAGCTCTCTCGACACCTTGGTGTAGTCCAGGTAAGCCTGCCTCTCCTCCTTCAGCTTGTTCAAGGTAGGCGTAATCTCTTCGTTTAGTACCTGAAGTGCCATCAAGAATATTACGAGGATATCGTGCAAATTACGTGCATGACGTAATGCGAAACTTTGAATACGCATTGAAAATCCCTTAGCACAAGTCGGCAAGCTTTCTGCTTTTCTAATCTACTAGTTCTTGTGTTGCGAAATTCAGCCATATCAAATCCCTTCTAGCCAGTTCCTATTGGCCTGAAGTAGTGCTATAGCCTTTGAAAGTGGCTCAGAATGCGAGCACAGCGAAATTCAATGACATGGTACCGCCCATAATGAGTGCAGGCGTGTTAAGCAATATATATGATCATCAGAAGGAACAATTGGGCGAGTTGGTGCACTTACATCTTAAGCGACAAAAACAGGGACGGGAAGGAAATGACAAACTACATCGCTGCAGTTTGTCGTTTCTTTCCCGTCCCTGTTTTTGTCGCACTATTATTTCTTTGAGATATAGGATATCACCAATTAATTATTAGCACACAAGGCTATAATAACTTCACAGCAAAGAGTAATACTACTAAAACAGTGCCCATAAATAGGGAAAAAATATCTGACTGTTTGCAATTTCTTGCCAATAAAAAGCAGCGGATGCTTTGCTGATTGGCAAGGTTGGCTAAGGCAAGCGTTAGTTTCATTGATCAAACAAAAGAATAATGAGGATAGCGGGACAGGACCTAGCAAGCAAGGAGTGTCTTGGATTCAAGAAGGCTCCATAGTCGTTTTTTGACCCAGTCATAAATAAAGCAGGTACACTCAATTTAATGCCTCTCAACAATTTTACACATCTCTAAAAATTTGCACTTTGGTTCTCCCCCGCCTCTAAACATTTGCATGTTATGTGAATATTTTGTAAATTTTGCAGAAAAAAAGACAATGAAAAAAAAAGAAAGGTGGCTCTTAGAATGCAGTAAATATGGTAGCAGTTAAGACTATCTTCCTGTCTGTCATGACTGCCCAGAGTCTGGTGTTATCCAAACTGAACTGTAAATGATAGCAATGTCACAATATGCTGGCCACAGTAAAATTTCTTAATATTGCTGTGGGAAGCGTGCGCAAGTGTGCAATGCCGGCACTGAATATCGCGGTGCTAAGGCCAAAGGTATTTAGTATAAATACGAGCCACTTTTCGCGTGACGCACGGCTAAGCATATACGGATAGGCCCAGACACGGTGCACCTTGCATACGATGCGGAAGCAGTTTCTCCACGGTAATTTTCATGCATGCGCACTCTTTAACCAGTACAGTATTACCGTACTTTGCTTGCAGTAAACCGGCACTGCTAGCTAAAACAGTACCATAGAGACACAGGGTAGTTGTTAGGTGCAAGTGTTCCACGACTGTCAAGGTAACTACATAGGAAATCATTTGCAGCCCACAACGCGACACCACTAGCCACTCATTGCACGCATGATTACAACGAAGCGATATTGGCACCCTGAGCCAACAAAGGGCTGGTCAAAAGCGTACAAATGTTGCCTTGCAGATAGCAGGTGATGAAGTGGCGCCTCTATTCAGTCCTTTCTGCTTTGTTGAAAATGACACCCCGCACCCAATGTTGCAAATGATTCTGGGAAGTGAGGTGGGAAGTGTTGGGGCAATTAAAATTCATTTGTAACGAATCTATCTCTCCAGCCTGTAATTTGGCATGATGGGAGCGTAAAAAGGAACGTAACTGGCGAACTTGATCGAGATTTAATGACCTTAAAAAAATATCGCCGGAGTTGACCTTTAAGGGGGCCTTGCAACACTTTTTTGGGCATGGTCAAAAAACGCTGCCGATCGGTAGTAGAGGCTCCTGACAACACGCGACCCAAATATTATAGCGCAGCACACGGCCTGGAATTCACAATAAATTATCAAAGTCAACTAAAAATAGCTTTGTCTTTTCTCGACAAATCACGGAAAATAATCCCAGTAAGCCCATCTATCAGCCATTGGCTGATTTGAACATGGCGCGCTCGGTTGTTACAGAGGTCGCCACGAGAGGCCGTCACTTGTCCACGCGTGCGCACGCGATTGCACTGAAAAAGGCTGCGTATTCAAAGAAAAAAAAAGAAAGAAAAAAATAAAGGCCACGAGCCGCGAGTGATATTTTTTGTTTGCCCCTCCCATCCCTCCCTGCTCAGCTTCCAGAGCTTTCGTCGGGACGAGAGAATGTGACAGCAGCGTGTGACAAAAAAATTAACTCCGCTCGTACTGAACGGATTCTTGAAATTTTTGCGGCATTCAATTTGTGAGGTAATACATTTTTCCAGTAAACTAATTCCATGGTTACTCAAAAAAGTGATTCAGGGCCCCTTTAGGGACTCATTAAAGGGCTCTACTGTATTATGAAGGCAGGCCTTACGCTGTCCAGTTCAGCCAGCTTGGCTTCCTTCTTCTCAATGGTGCGCTGCGCTACTTGCTTCTTGCTCTCGTACATACGCGTGCCAGCTGCTTCCTCGATCATGGCCAAGATCTGCGATGGAAGGTGTAGTAATATTATGCACTTTCTTCAAACGACTACAAGTCGACCAGTAAGTTCTGCAGAAATGAGCAGGCTCCACGCTTTGCGAAATGAAATGGGTTCTCCAAGAAAAAAAATAAATAAAAAAACAGTCGAAAATCTTCAAGGAAACCCCATATATTCGACAGTAGTTTGATGGTTGCACAGAACAGACTATACTTAGTTACAACCGAAGAAATAAAAAAATATGGCTGCAACTTAGCTCGGTGAGGCACGGTTATGCTAGCAAAAAGCTTGTTCACTCGTTTGTGCTAGTTCTCCCTCATAACTGAAGCACAGTTTGCCAAAAGAACGATACGGCTAGTCGAACGCTTCATACGGCGTGCACCCACCACAGTCGTTTCGTCAGTTTCTGAAGAATTGATGGTTTGTCGTTGCTACAGAAAACATCCGAGTTTGGTTGAGCAGTGATGTCAGAATCTCCGAAAAAATATATCGGGACGTTGAAGTTTCTGTCCTTAAACCAGCAACACAAATGTGGGTCTGTAGCGAGAAAGCATGCAAGCACCATCGGGTGGAACACATGTGCTAATTATCTGTGAAACAGGAGATGCAGACTTTTTTTTCCCCTTCTTTCTTAGCTTATAATTTAGCTTATAATAGACTATAACGGCAAGCGAGTGAGTAGTGGTGTGCCCCGCTCGATCGTGCAGGCACGATTTACCACGGTCCCAAGAAATATCGCGCCCACACGACAGTCTTAATAAACAAACCTCGGGTGGCTTCATGTTGAGCACCTTGGTGATGCGACCCTGCATGATGAGGAAGTGAGGGTTGTTGACGTTCAGCTGCACCGACCCAAACAGGTCCTGCACTCGGTTACTGGTCGCCGTCACACCATTGATGAGGTATTTGTTTCTGCCGCCTACGACCACCTGCATCCAATAAAGAGTTAGAGCAAAATCGGAGGGGTACAGGAACATTAGAGGGGCCAACTTATAGGCCAGCTTGAATTAGACTCGAATACGGCATTGGCCACTGATGATGTTCCATGCTTGAACAAACGTGAGATGAGCTATTGTGCCACACAAGAAATTGTCGCAAGCTTGACTCGAAAAACAACAACTATTAAATGGAGTTTGGAACCAGTTCATAACACACACACACACACACACACACACACACACACACACACACACACACACACACAAAAAAAAAGCTTCCATGCTTAATGTTTGAATTGAAGAGTGGAACAGAATGTAATCGAGCCCTATTTGCATTCCCTTCTCAGTTGTCTGCAGTGCTTCATTTCCCGGTGCGAATTAGCCAAGTACCTACTATGCACTCATAGGGCTATGTGCACATCTATGCAGCTGCACATTTGGTTTATGCTGTGCCCGATGATAATCGATTATGCCTGAGCACTTTGTAATAGGTGGGCGTTTTAAACTACCCCCTCAATGCCCATTTCACAAGGTGTGAAACCTGGCGAAATTCTGCACTTTTGCCATGAAATGTTACACGTGTGGAAGCAAGTCTTTGTACTTGCAACACTTAGATAAAGTCTTTTTTCATAACATATCACTTCACTGTAATCATTTGAGCCCACAAAGGCAAGAAGAAAGAAAGCCATGACTCACATTGACAAGCTGGATTAAAGAAATGACATTTAGCATGGGTAAATGAAGCCACTGCATTAATTATTAAATAATCGGGTTCTCCCAAGTAGCAGACTTTTATGTTGTACACAAGTGCCTTGCACAACACCGTGTGCAAAATCTGTTCACACCACAGTACAGCTTAGAAAAACACCTGTAAGCTTCGTGCCTCGACAACAATGCGCAATTACTTCTTTGTGTTTTCCTTTTCGTAACTAAAAACAATTTCAAAAGCAGCAACTGCTCTTTGAAGGCAAATCGCACTTCTGCGAGTTGCCAAAAATAATGATTCGACAAAAGCTCCAATGTAAGAGCGGGCAAAATCTTGCAAAATCTAAATATCGAGTGCACTTTTGTAACGCCAATGCAAAGGACACGATCTAGTTCCAAGCGGCGCACGTATGATGCACGTCCTTGATGACATCACAACAAATTATCGACCAATCAGGAACTGATGTAGTAACACAAAGAAGAAAAAAAGGCGGTCAAGAAGCACAGAAAGTTTCAAAATGGCAATGGATTTTTTTATGCCACTTAATACACAAGAGAACCGCTAAACTGCAGAACGTGTTCCAATACTTCACTGCAACATATTCATGTACATGCTAGTGAGGAAATACATGCTTCTCGAGCCTGCTTCAATGAGAATAATGGATTATGAAAGCAGTGCTGCAGAATTCAAAAAGGCCTGCACGTAGGAACAACACATGCACCAACTAGTGCCAAAAGAAGCTCTTCTTAATGGCAATAGGCTACGTATGGTACAGTATGTAACGACTGGGATTGCCCATTTTCGCAGAAATTTTTTGAACTGAAGAGCGCAGCTTCTCAATTTCTTGTTTTTGAACTTGCGAGAGCGGGGCAGGAGGCTAAAAACTTATACTCTGTGTTTTGAATACGTTATTTTGCTGCTGGGAATGGCAGCTAAGTCCTACGCTGACGCCACCCTTGGACCCAGACAAAGCTACAACTTCGTGCAATGAAGCCATTGAGATGATAACAGGTAAAGCTTGCTATTTGAATGAAAGCTTGCAATTATTCGAAAGCTCGTAAATTGTCAAAGCCGAAACTAGTGTTTCGGTAAACAATGCGATGCGGACAGCAATGAACACCCAAGCATTTCGGGAGACCCACCCTCACCGGTCTACACGATTGATTGATTGATATGTGGGGTTTAACGTCCCAAAACCACTACATGATTATGAGAGACGCCGTAGTGGAGGGCTCCGGAAATTTCGACCACCTGGGGTTCTTTAACGTGCACCCAAATCTGAGCACACGGGCCTACAACATTTCCGCCTCCATCGGAAATGCAGCCGCCGCAGCCGGGATTCGAACCCGCGCCCTGCGGGTCAGCAGCCGAGTACCTTAGCCACTAGACCACCGCGGCGGGGCACCGGTCTACACGAATGGACGCAGACTTTTTAGCAAGTTACCGAAACACGGTACTCAAGTACAGCAAGGCAGTACGGTAAGGCTTCTCTTTTCACGCTTGTGCTTTCCCTGCTCCCAGTTCCAGTGACAGAAGACAACGAGGCGTGACAACCTTGCAGTGATGTGATCGAGGAGGGGTTGAGGCTGGCACCCAGGCTTCTACTCTTGGGAGGTGTCTTGCTTACAAAAAGAACACACGTTTAACTGACACATTTACAAGAGTTACAAACAAACAAGGTCTAGAGACACGCCTTTACATCACAAACCCAGACAAGCATTCGTGTGCGACGCAAACTGCTGTAGCTCGAATGCCAATACGAGTTTCTTGCAGGTTGGATTTGGACATCGCCCGTTAGAGAGAGAGAGACGAACTTTTATTTTGAGCAAGTAACTTATTCCAGGTAGCTGCTGGCCTTCGTCATCTTCCATGCCCATTGAACTCGGTTTCACCGATTCTTCAGGCCCGGGTCAGATAACTTGGCCTCCCACTGCTTTTAAGTTAGTGCATTGGTTCCAGGGTTTTATCTGCATCCCCATACCATACGACATGAGGTGTCCGGGACATCTCAGTACTCACAGATGTACGAGTGATCACTTGGCGAGATGCGATGAAGTAGCGTTCGGTGAACGTAGGTGTTCGTTTGCAGCTTCCCGAGGGTTACTGCCTCTTCCCTAGCCAGGCTGAGGCGAGGTGGTGGGTAAATTTTTCTGCCTAGCCTGTAGCGATGCAGCCTTTCGTTGTACTTTTTAAGTACATCTTCTCCCTTCCCTAGTGCTTCCTGTAGGATGACCCGGTGAACACGAGCTCAGGCGAAGGCATCAGCTGCCTCATTTCCCATCAGAGACTCGCGACCCCGAGTCCAAACGATGCACGTTTCGGGTAGGTCCTTCTTTGCTGCAGTGGCGAGAATTTCTGAGGCTTGCCTGGAAATTCTTTCTTTCTGAAAATTTTGACGAGCCGCTCAGGAACCAGTATTACTGCTGCCTCAGCACACGTTGAGACTGCTAGCGCTATGGCCGTTTCTTCTACTGTATCGATCTCTGCAGTTAACATGCTAGCTGCCGTTTCTCTTTGCCAGTTCGAACAAGAGCAAAATTTTAAAAAACGCTTTTGTGTTGTTGGGGTGCCTTCACTAGCAGAAAACAAAAGAAGCTAGAAAGTAGGAGCTGTATAGTCAGTCATACGGTACCGTATTTGCGTACCGGACTGCCTGCTCTAACGTAACGTACCTGTCTGGTGATGGTGAACTCGTCGTAATGTTCGTAGCCAACGGGTTTCTGGCGCGAGTCGCGGTTGTCGAAGGTGATGGAAACCGTGGCCTTGGTGATACCCGCCTGTCCGTTCTTGTACACCAGGTCTTGCAGGTTGACGGCGCGCACCTGCTGCAAGTTGCTGATGCCCAGCACGAAACATATAGAGTCTAAGATGTTGCTTTTGCCGCTGCCGTTAAGTCCCGTAATGGCATTGAAGAGCGGGTCGAACCCCTTGATGTCGACCCGCTGCCCGTACGACTTGAAGCCGTCGATGGTGATGCTCTTGATGTGCATCTTCTCGTCTCAGTCTTTCGTTCGCGCGTTTCGGCGACTCGATCCGAGCACTATCATTTAAACGGCGGCCATTCACGCCAGGTTTACCGGATCTCGCATACTCCGCGCACTTTTGAGCGGGCTGCAAAATCTGGCGCCAGAGATCGTTGGGTCTTTAGCGCAAAGTCATTTGTTGTGTGGCGCTGCAATGCAGTTATTATTTTATTGTTCAAATAGTTTTGCGTAAGTTAATAAAAATAAACATTATAAAAACAACATAAAACTTTTAAGCAGAAAAATTTAACAAGTGTTTAAAGTTGTTACGGTCTTGTGGTGCACGCAGTTTTATACACTCTTTGTGGCTGTCCGCAACGTGCGAAATCCACATCCAATGCGAGCCAATTAGACATGGCGTCTGACGTAGAAACGTGCGGAAACCGCTCCCCAAGCGCGTAGCACAAGCCGGCTCATCCGTGTCCTTGGCGCGGGGCTCTCCGTCGCACAACGATATCGCCCAAAGGTGAAGCGACCACGCGACCGAGCCGCGGACCGGCGCCGCCGGTCGGGCGCGGGGCCATGTTCCAGTCGAAAGTTAGTCCTAGCCCGACCCGGAGCAGCATCAAGGAGGCCAACGACCACCTGCAGCTGCTGCACGTCAAGGTGGCCGAACTCGAGCGCACCGTGCAAGAGCAGGCCGAGGCGCTCATCAAGAAGGACGAGGCGATGCAGACGCGCATTCGCGACGTGGGCGACGCCAAGGACGCGCGCATAGCCGAGCTGGAGGCGCAGTTGACGGTCGCCGAGGAACGGATACGCAAGCAGGAGGAGTTGCTCCGTGATCGCGACATGCAGCTCGAGCTGCTGTCGCACCGCTACGCGCTCGTCGAAGAAGTGGCCGCGTACACTCCGGTCGTGGAGAAGCTGCTGGCGGCCATGCGCCGGCTGCCGGCGAAGACGACGAGTCGCCAGGCGCCGCGGTCGCGTGCCAACTCGAGGGGAAACCTGACGGCGTCGGCTCCTCGCAAGAATTCGACTCCCGGCACGCCCAACCACGACGGCGGCAACAGCGTGCTCGTAGACGGCCACGCGCTGTCCGAACTGCGCATCGGTCGCAGTTTTAGCATCAACAGTAACTTTTCGGCGTCGGAAGACGAAGGCGACGTGGTGGGCGCGATGCTGTGACGAAGGACGGCTCAAGCGCGCTTGCCGTCGTCTGCTGCGGAGGAGGAACTTCGTTTCGCGCGTACATCGCCCTCTTCAAGGTAGCAGCGGTGAGTTCAGGTGTTAAAGGGACGCTAAAGCGAAACAGCGGGTCGGTTTAGATCGATATTCGAAGTCTTAATATCTTTAATTTCACCATCAATTATTATATTTAAATTTCGCGCCTAAATATTAAGGTTGAAGTCATAAAACTTCGAAGAATATTTTTGCTACACAGGCTTAACGGAATTTCCCGAAACTTGTTGTGTTAAGTCTCTGGCCCCCTCAGTACTTCGTTTTTACCGATTAGAAACAGCGTAGGACCTGTCAGACGCCGTCAGAATCTATGACGTCACCGCGCTTGTTGCGGGAACTTCAAGGCGGTGTCACTAGTCGCGTTTTGTTTTGCGCTCACCGAACGTCTCCTCGCGGTAAGCGTGGTTATTTTACAAGTGTGAAAGAGTAATTTACTCGTACGAAAAAAAAATTGCTCTTCTATTGAGTGTCCCTTTACGTTTCCTGAGATGGTGTTGGTTCACGTGCTCTTCTCTGGAAGCGCCTATTTTAGCCTAATACGTCGCATCATTTCCGAAGCTAGGATATACGAGCACAGCTCTATGCCTTATTTATGAATAGAGGGAAAAAATGATAGAGCGTGGTAGAAGAAGTAGTGTGTTGAGGAGAATTTTAGAAACACTTAAGCGCGGCAGAACCTGTGGCCTGCATACATGCGCAGCAAACAAATGTCTGCTGTAAATATCATAGCCTGCTTCTAAAGCAATGCTGCCTTAAAAACTTGTTAAAAATAGCTTCCTGCAAATGTAAGTTATTTAAGGCTGTCACATGCTTGCTATTTGATTTTTCTGCGATGTAGTCGCTCCTGTTTGGTTCACTTATGCATTGAATGTGAGCAGAAATGCATGACTGCTAACACCTTGTAAAGACATCTTGACTGCTGCAAAATGCCCGCTGCTAAGAAGCAGCAGCTGTCCTGTCAGTCGCTTGTGATGAGCACGCTTCTTTCATTGTTCTTATGGGGACATAACTTAGTTCTTAGTGGACGACCGTCTTGGGATGATCATCGCGAAGGACTCCAGCATCGAACGTGACTGTAGTGTCGTGCAAACTCGCCGTTCCGCTGAAGGCTCCGCGGAAACTTCCTAATGGTGATAACTCAATGATCTTGTCTCGTACGTGCAATGCGACTTCCGGGATGTCTTTCTACTGCGACTTCCGGGTTGTCTTTCTCCACACTTACAGTGTCTCCTGGCTGTGTGGTCATTCCTCCTGTACCTAATATGAATCTCAACTTGTTCTCCTTGACCCGAGAGCGTGGCACGTGTAGTGCGTCTAGTGTGTGCTTCAAAGTCCCAACCCTTAACTTATATTGCATAACTTATAATTTTGTTTATAGCATGTACATCACAATGTTTTGAAGATTTTTTTTCTTATGGAGATCTTACTAGTTATACCAGTATTATTATGTCACTTCAAGCTTCACAGATGCCTGTGTGCTATGTGTGTTGTACATACGATGAACTTAGGTGTAATGCTGTAAATTTTGTTTTTCCAATAACCTTCTAGAGTTGAAGCAAGCCTTAGCACGAGCTTCCAAGCAGACAGATATGTAGATAATAAAAAAATGTTCCTCAACTGCTGTCGTAGCCATAAAACTAGCCTATGCTTTCCAGACTCACTACGAATGTTTATTTCACATCTGCCTTTATAGTTAAACGATTGCTGTCAATCTTTTCAAGAAATGAAAATTCTAAAGTAGCTTTAAAAAGCCCACTTTAAATGAATGTTTTATAGTTTAAAACACTGTTAGCATTGATATTGCTCTCTTGAAATTAGTACTTGCAAGTCCACCACTGTGTTCTTAAAAGCAGCTAATACAAGCTGTTGCTGTGGTGGCAGTGTTTCGGTGGAGACGTTATACATATAAAAAGCGCATAATGTAAAGTCTTGGCGAATCATTTTTGTAGAATCTTGGGAAAGAGGCGCAAGGGAGGTTTACAAATCATTTTTGTGGAATCTTGGGAAAGAGGGGCAGGGGAGGTTTACAGAAAGGAAAAATTGTCATTTTCTCATTTGTGTCATGAAGTTGCCAGATCAATTTATGTGGATCCTACTTGCAAAAACCTTTCTTGCTGACGAAAAATTTGGACTGGTCCCAGAGTGAGTGATATGTGGGACCAACATCGTCAGCTAACCTGGAGGAAAGCCAATTGCAGTTTAAGGGTGTAGTGAAAATGGCCCATTTATTAAGGCTAAAAAGCTTTCGATGTTTCATTAGAACGGTTCTTCAGCAAAAACTGCCTTTCTGCCAGCTAGACCACCCATGTGCTTGCTGCACGTCAACTTTATCTTTGTGGTGTTTGCTTGATTTAACATTGTCACATGACCACAACTTGACTTGAGACGTGTCCTTGTCTCTATGACGTTCGTGTGACTAGAAATTCTTAAAAAGTGACGTTTGTGTGACAGAAATCACAGCAAGATAGCCGCACTCGTTTATTTGTGCCTTCATGTTATCCTAGATAAATGCTTAAGGGACCCCTGCGAATTTTCTGCACTCCTCACATGACTTAATTTGCATTTCAAATCCTACAGGTGCACTGTTCCAAATGATGGACACCAACCAACTCTTTGTTGACAAGAAAGGTTCTAGAAATCCATACAGATTTATGTTTCACGTACACCTTGTTTATTTTTATGGTCTTAATCTCTTCCCTGTGGTGTCTGGCAAAAAGCAGTAAAGTTTGAGGTCACCATTATTATTCACTAACACAGCTAGTTTCGCAGATATTCCGGTGCCGGCATCGTTGGTCATGAGTGAAAAATCATCTTATGCGTGACCGAAAAATAAAAAAAAATGCAAATAAGAATTCTCAGCCTAAATGAGGTTCGAACCTGGGTCGTTTGCGTGGCAAGTGGATGTTCTACCTCAGAGCCGCGCATCTTCTTGGAAATGCAGTGAAAATAACTTCCTGTGCTTGCAAAAGCGGTGAAATTAACCTGCATACTTTACAAACAAACGCTTCCTGTATACATGCTTCACAGTGCAACATGTAATATAGTAATGATGCCTGGTACAAGCGTATGTCGCGATCGGGCATCAGAACATGCGATTGCCATGAATTCATGGTTTAAAGCGGGCCACCCACTGTGAAAGGCAGACACGTTACAGCGCCTTTTTCTTTGAAGCCATTAGTGGGCGCATAGCAAGCTCGAAAAGATCTCACATGCACAATTGCCCCCGTGGTTTAAAGTATGCTAACCGTTACACAGAATGCAGCCGTATGCGAAAGCTTCACCGACACGAGCCATTTTAAAGTCTGTACGCACTAGGGACAGGCTCATCACGATCAGTTCACAAAAACTGAACAAAAACGCAATAAAGTGCACGACACAAGCGCTCTGCGACAACTGAAAGTTTAATGGAACAAACGTTTCTTCCATTGAACTTCCAGCTTTTAGACAGCGCTTGAGTCATGCACCTCATTGCATTTTCGTTCAGTTTTTGTGCACTGATCGTGATGAGTATGTTCCAACTAGCCCATTTCCTACTTTACTAGAGACAGGGTATCGCTGTCGCGTTCAGCTCTTAAAGGCAAAGCTTAAGGGTGTCCCACTTTTTTTTTATAGCTACCATTAGCGAAAGATAGTTGCTCAATGCATGAAAAGCAAGTCCTTTGCCTGTAGCGAAGTTTCTTGAATCATTTTCAAAAGGAAGCGCAAAGGGTGAGAATGGAACGTGAACTGGCGTTCGAAAGAATGCCTTGGTGGTGAAGCATATACGCTCAACAATTCTTTTATTTGGTGCATCTTTAAACTGCTAGCTCTACTCGGCTTTCCGTGCAGTTGCCAAACTTGAGGTCCGTGTAATGATCTTCTTGCAGGCTTAGTTCAGTGGAGGCAAGAAATACGCATATTGGCAGCTTGAGAGCAGAGAGTATACTGGTTGTCATCGATTTCCACAAAAGCAGCTTGCGCGTAATCGTCTTGTCAGATCTCGGCGTGCTAAACATTTTGCTGTGTGCGACCCTATCGACCATGTGTGCCATAGTTATTTCAATGCTCAGACATTAATTGTGCATGTGCAATTTGCAGTGGTCAACTCTTGAGGGACGGCATTAGCTTGTCGCATGCCCATCACTTCTAGGTCACTGTGATGCTTCCAATCGCAGGGCTAGAGATCGTGTCTCATAATACTTGCGACTTAGCACAATTCAGTAGAGGTGTCAGTGTTGCAGTTCTAGAAAAAAGAAAATGAGAAGCAGCAGCATTAAAATTACCTCAGTGCCAGAGCATTAGTGGTACACTCAAACCCAGACACAATGAATTATAGGTTATAACGAAGTAAATGAAGAATAGCTCTGTCATTGATACAGTGCTACAAATACATGTTTATAACAAATTTTCGGATATAATGGAAGTATTTTCGTGGCAGGTGTGACTTTGTTATAATGAGGTTTCGAGTGTATTGGATAAATGTATCAAATGTATTCCAAAACCAATGTGCTCGACTAGGTTGAAAACCAGGTGTGCGAATGCTTAACAGAAACTTTGTGATGCAGTTCACAAGTTTTCACATGATAAAACCAGTTGTACACTTGTCAGGATGAATGATTATTTAATGCGATTCATTCCGTCAGTGAGTGATGTTATGTTTTAGCGTGCTGAGAATTCAAATTTTCTATTTGAGTTGCTTCTGGCTTTTGTATAGTGCACGTCGAAAAGATCTAGGCCAGATTTGGAGTTCAGCGAGTGCAAGAACACCGATTCATTTAAGTATAGTTTCGTGCGAGAAGATTTGCTGATCATTCGGCAAGTCCTATAGGACTTGATGCTCTACAACACGATCAGTTATGGGGGCTATCAGTAAGTTATTGTATGCATGTAGCAGTTCTGGTATTGATTGTTCTGAATGTCTGTTTTTCTTTGCAACTGTGAGTGCCGTGTAACATCCTCGAACTTTATTTATCGTTTCTCTTGCTTTCCGACAAGGACATGCAAGCAAATACTGGGAAAATTGCATAATTTCACAATTAAATCTCTGACATGTTGGTGAGACCATCCATAAAATTAGCTGTACGCTAATGATATCAGCTCTCGATGTTTTGCTTTTGCATATAATTGAGTTTTTGTTGATGCACTGCATTTTCAAGTGAACTTTCGTTCTTACTATTTTAATTATGTCTTTTGGCATTGCCTCGCAAAGCGTACCATTGTAGTAAAATATGACTGATGTGGCAAAGCCTCTTTGACCTGTGTTAGATGTTCAGGCTGATGGAGTGTCAGTGTCAGCCGCCGAGCCCGTGGTTATAACACATATACGAGTGTATGCTGCGGTTGCGAGTCACCGGGATCAGCAACTACACACTGTAGCGGCTATAGCTGCTGCCCTCCTTTTCACAACAATAATTACATCTCTTTTTCTTTGCTACATTTAATGTAAGGTATCATAGCAGGATATGCTCAAAATCTCGTAGCATTTCACATCAGTGCTCTTGTTTCATTCCATGATTTAGGCCACAAACCCTGCACCTGTCTTCTGCAATGCTTGAATGTAATGCTGCTTTACTATTTGAACTTTCGTTTCATATTTTGCTCAGTAACGGGCAGTGTGGGTTTCGTGGCAATCATTCAGGCCTTGGTTGCTAGACTTTTTTATGTCTGTGGCATATACCGGCTATTTTCAAGTGCTTTTTAAAAGTGCTCGTCTACTTGCTGGCCTGGCAACACTGATGGGTGATAGTGGAAGTTTGTACGCTCAATAGTATCGTATTTTGAATGCATATGCATACTGGTCAGTCACACATCTTCTGCAAAATATTCTTCGAATGTCTGGTACTTCTGTCATGGATGCTTCCTGCAAGTTTTGCTTACTAACACAAGTCAATTGTACATGTGTACTCAGTTTTAAAGCCCGCTAGGCATAAGTAGTCATGCATACGATGCTCATAGCAGATGCACGTTGCTAAAACAGT